AAACTGCGCACCACTCAATGTGTCGCGACCCAAAAGTTCGTCCTTTTTCAAAACGGCATAACTTTTTTGTTTCTTGAACGATTTTATTTTGGTCTGTGATGTCTGCTAACCCCATCCTCTGGCAATTCATGCTATAGATATTAAGCCCACGGTTCTTCAAGTAAATTTCCTACAGGGTGATATGTAAAACGGTGAAAAATTTCAATAACTTTATCCAAGCCCCGTTTGAAAAAAGAAATATTTTTTTTCGTTTTTACTTAGAGATAATGAAGAATTGAATTGCCGGAATGCACAACCGACGCAGCGCGGGGCCAGTAGGCTACTGCATGGAGACCGTTCAATTTCAACAAAATTCTTTAAATTAAACTCGCGATAACTCCTTAACTAAACGTGCGATTTTTATGAAATTTGGACAGAATACTTAGATTGGTACAGCGATGCTATTAAAATAAAAAATACAAAATTTTAACCACAATTAATTAATAAATGCATCAATATTATTTAAGTCATAACTATGCTTAAACTAGTAGATGTTTATAAATTATATATATACGGTTTTTTTCTTGGTAAAATAAAGAAGTTTTTCTCCAAATTTGACAATTATTGATGAATTATTATATTTGAACATTTAACACTTAGCGGTCAATTATTGATAAAAATAGCAAACAGTAGCGGCCCTAGGTAATCATTTTATTTCAAAATAAAATTCGTGTTTTATATTGTACAGTGTAAAGTGTTCAATGTACACACATTTAGTTATAATAAGTAATAATAAATAATTTCTTGCAAATTAAGCTTTTAACGTGATAAATCGAGTTTAGTTTCGATTCTTGTGCACTTTGTTGTCTTTACGCCGCCGCAGCGCGCCGCGGGCTCTTTTATTTATTTGTATTACGGCTATAATAATTTATTAATAATTGTCAAATTCGGAGAAAAACTTCTTTATTTTACCAAGAAAAAAAACCATATATATATATATATATATATATATATATATATATATATATATCCATGCAGTAGAGTACTGGCCCCGCGCTGCGTCGGTTGTGCATTCCGGCAATTCAATTGTCGTAGGTACCTTGGAAAGGTTTTCAAATTTATATTTATTATCCAATTGGAATCTTAGCAACGAAAATCTGATTTTTTTACAAAAGAGTACATTTAAGGCTTTTTGGTAGGCAATACACTCAGTCTTTTTAAGAACAAGAAAATAAGATGGTGAAAGATTTTACCTTGAATAATTCTGAACAAGCAACGAACTTATTTTCAAACGGGCCTAAGTAAAGACCACTTTTTCAAAATGACATTTTGGTAAAAATTTGAAAACTAAACCTGAACCGATATTTACGTTCGTGACATGTTTTCTTTATAATTTTGACCTCCTGATTGTGATTCAGTTGTTAAGTTATAGATAAAACCAAAATCACCATGAATCAAAATTCGAAAACAATTTCCGGCTGTTAAATGTTTTAATAAAATCCGAAAAAAAATCATATCGTCTTTGCTAAGATTCCAATTCGAAAAACTTGAAAAACGTTTCAAGGTAACACATAATACTTCATTATTTTAAAATAAAAACGAGAAAAAAATTATTTTTTTAATAACGCGGCTTGAATAAAGTTATTGAAATTTTTCACCGTTTAACATATCACCCTGTAGGAAATTTACTTGACGAACCTTTAGCATGAATTGCCAGAGGATGAGGCTAGCAGACATCACAGACCAAAATAAAATCGTTCAAGAAACAAAAAAGTTTTGTCGTTTTGAAAAAGAACGAACTTTTTGGTCGCGACACAATGAGTGGTGCGCAGTTTAGTTGGCCTCACCCCGCATTCTTTTAGATAAGCAAAAGCATGGCGTCTGGGACAAACGTTTGTATTAACTCTTAGGTTGAAACTCCGTAAAAGTAATTTTAGGCAATTTTGTAGCCAAAGAATCAAGCTTTTGAACGACACCATTGACTTTGCGATATCTCTTTAAATGAGTACAAGCCGAAATGTGCCCTCTTGGCTGCCTCGCCCCGTAAGTAGTAGTATCGTTGATTTTATTAACAATAGTATAGTATATATTGTATCAACGATAGTATAGTACTAAATATTTAGATTACACTTAAAAATTGAATAGTAACTAGATAAAATAATATGTGAACTTAATCCAAATTTAAATTAAAAAAGGTTAGGCTAGTTAGGTACGTTATTTTATGTGGTTTATGAGTTTGATTTGCATAAAGCTTAAGGCACAATTTATTTAAGCACGTTATCTTAATATTAGATTATAACAATACCTAAACTAAACATTGCATAATTAATTTACTGAAGCTAACAGTTACACAGTAAAAACTAATATTCTTAATTTAAGAAAATTGCTATAATTGGAAATATATTTTTGAGTGAAATAATCAATTATTTAGTATAAAAATATATCTTTCAATTAAGCTTTGCAATTTTCTTTTTCCAAGAAATAAAAAATCTTCGTTATCAAATAAAAGCTTCTTTAGCTAAATATTGAAATATTTGATTTAAGTAATATTTTTCTTCGATTTTAAGAATATAAAGGTATTTAATCTAATACAATTTTATTTTTGATTTAAGTATATGATTTATTTCATACTAAAATACCAAGAGTTTTAAGTCAAAGTAATATTTTTGTTTTGAACTAAAATTATAATTCTTCAAACAAATAATATGTATAATTGATTTAAAAATATAATTTTATTTTAAATATATGGTATGTTTAAAATATTTTATCGCGAGATTTTAGTAGCACGTGACTTATGGAACCAATGGGTTTCCAGAAACTGTTTCGCTTCGGTATCGGTGCCGGTATTCTTTTTAGCCGCCATTTCGTTTATGTGTTTCCTCTGGTGTAGTTTATAAAAGTTTGTGCAAAAATATGGAAGAACTATTAGAACAATGTAATTTAGAAGATCTAATCCCCGTTTTTAAAGGTAGGTAATATGTTATTAATAATAATAGTAATATGTGTATTGTTATTGTTTTGCTTTTAAAATTATTATTATTAATATCGTAATATGTTAAATTTAAAATACGGTATCTTATATTTTATAAGATACCGTATTGTTTAATTTTAAATACGAAGGTTTATCTTTTGTTTCATTTTATATGCGAATGTTTATTTTTTGTTATTTTAGGATTAGTTTCATGATGCTCTTGTAAATTTATATTATTTGTACCAAAATAATTATAATTAAATAAATATGGATTTTTAATTATTAAATGTATTATTTCTTTGTTTTAAAAAATAAAACATACCTACTTAGTGGAGTTCTTGAACAATTTAAATCATGGTTATATATTCAAGCTAAAGGAATTTAAAGCTGTTATCTACTGTAGACTTAATCTACTAGACTGTAGGCAAAAATGTAATGTTTTTAAATTAATTCTGCAAAGAAGGATTAACTTATTAAAATGCTTATTTTAACTAATATAATATTACTATATTTATATATGTAAGTGTATAAGGTACATTCTTACTTAAATTAATTTGTTACATTATTTTAAACTACATTATGTATGTACATTTTGTGTGTAAATAAAGCCTATATAAAAGGATTTATTAAAAAATATTACATTTTTGCTTTAAATCTAAATTTGACCTTAAAGTAAGTATAAAAATTATTTAAATTAAACACATCGTTGCCTTAATATGAAAGCATGAATTTCTTCCAACAAAAATATTATACATTTAAATCAACCATATGTTAAATTTTAACCAAAAAACATTATTTTTGCGTCAAATTTAATATATTTTTAAATTAAGTATATCGTACTTTTCTCTAAAAAATATCCAATACTTACGACAAAGGCATTATATATTTACATAAAGAAGCCCAACTTTTCCATTTAAGAATATATTAGTTTTAAACTAAGTCATAACATGCATTTAATTTAAAGCGCGCATTTACTTTTTCTAAGATCATGATATATTTAAATTACAAATATAAACTTATCTTGAGTCTAATAGATGATTTATTTGTGGCTATTTAAAACAATGAATGCTTTGGTTTAAACCTACAGTATTTGACTGAAAGCATCTTTTTTTACTGTGTACATGTACTAATTATACTTGTCACCACCATCATGAGTCGGTTGATTGTATGTAATTTATTAACTTGATGTTTAACATCTTTAGTTAAATAATTTGTTAATTAATACTCATGGATCAATATTCCTTATGCCCTTTTTTGACTAAATGTATTATATTTTTGTGCTAAACTCACGTGGAATTAAAACATTATACGCTAGAAAATAATGAACAATAAATAGTTTATTGAACAATATATATACCATATTGTCGAAGTTTTCCACACGAGTGTAGCGAGTGCGGTAACACGCGAGTGGAATCTCCTCTTTTGACAAATAGTCGCACACAATATTTTATTCAACCACCCCAAGGATTTTAAAGCCAATTTTATTTGATATTTTATTAGCTGTCAAGCAGATTTAACCTCACTTTTTCCCAATTCTAAATTTAAGCCAAATTCAGCCACTGGCCAAATAGCTTTTAATTAAGCTAAAGGCCATTACCCCTGAACACAGTGCTCTGTGTTTAGATTTGAGAAGAAGAAGAAGCCAACTTCAGCCCCTGAGCGAAGTAAAATTTAAGAAATGAAATGGGTGTTGAATAAAGTATTATTATTGTTACACTAATTTAACAATAGAAATATTGTTTTACTAGGGAAACAATAAAAAATAAGAAGAAAAAGAAGACAATCGTAAACAATCGTAAACAATAACAGTTATTTTTACATACAGATGATACATACATAAATATGATTTTAAACATTGTTCACATATTTGTAAATAAATTTTAAAAGAAAATATTTATAAAAAACAAAGAATTCAATTTTTTAAAACATAACGTCAAAACCAAAACACTTATCTGACAAGTTGACACTGACACTAATTAAATTGAGGTCAAATCATTTAACAAAATTTTATTTAATTTGTGTGACAAAATAATATGTGAAATTTGCTTACCTTAAATGTTGCAGAATTTTGAAGAGTTAATTCGGATTCTTCACCATTGAGCATAATTGATACAGTTTGAGCACCAAAAATATCTGTAAAAAATTAATTTGTTTAACTAATATACAAGTTTTTAATTTGTTTTTGAAAAAAAAACCTAAAGTAAAACCCAATCTTAAAGCGAAATAATATGAGGCGCCGTTTGTCCGTAAATTATTTTTGCTATATATAAGAATATTTTTGTATATAAACTTTAAATTTCCTATATATATAGAAACTTTTTAGTTCAGATAATGCCGCTTGAGAATGAGGGCGCTTTGTGGTAATCAACTAAAAAGCACTGTTGCCAGAGTGCAATGCAAAGTTTTGGACAGTGTTTCCAACATAAAGTTTCGCCAGATCTGGCAGATTTTAATAAAGGTCGAGGGAAAAAAGATACTCTTACGGCTGACGGATTTTTTAACGTTAACTTAAACATAATATCGAATGGTATTTGTCATAAGATTTGTACCTATATAATTTAATTTGTAAGAGTCCAAGTTAAAAAAAAAGATTCTTTGTTTTTTATAAATTGACAAGAGAAGCAAAACGTAAGAAATTTTAGTTTTTTTAAATACCTATTAGTAAAAACGAAGCCGTGTTTATTTAGAGAAATAGAGACGGCCAAAGAAGAGAAATGTTTTCTTCAATAAAAATAGACCAACCGACCAATATATTACCTATAAGTATTTAAAATGCCATCATTTTGTTCCGCTAGATCTGGCCGAAGATCCGTTATGTTGGAAACACTGACCAAAACTTTGCATTGGCACACTCTGGCAACAGTGCTTTTTAGTTGAATACCAGAAAGCGCCCCCATTCTCAAGCGGCATTATCTGAACTAAAAAGTTTATATATATATATATATATATATATATATATATATAGGAAATTAAAAGTTTATATATCAAAAATATTCTTATATATAGCAAAAATAATTTACGGACAAACGGCGCCTCATAAAATAAAACTCGTTAGTAGTAGTTTTAAAGTAGGTTTTTGTTTTGCATTGGATTATAATTTATCTAATATTTAGAGCTAACAATTAAACAAGAAATGGATATGAAAAAAAATTGCGATATGATCTCAGGTGAGTGGACGCACGATAAAAGCTATGCATCTTAAGTTGGTCTCATATAGATGCATAATGCGAATTGCGAAATACGAATATTCGCATTTCGTTACTTAGGTATATTTCATATAGATACGAACGGCCGGAACTATTTTAGGGACATTGTTTTCTTACTAGGCGATATTTGCTATGCTATTTTGTACCCAAAATATTTGGGTACTTAAATAGAAAACTTACTTAAAGTGACTAGGTATAAAGGTAAACATTAATGTACCTCAAAAACCTCTTTGTCCATTATAAAAAACAAAAAAACTTATTTAAACTGTTCCAATAAAACTTAACGAAACAAACACTACGATACAAACAAAATAAAAATAAATGGTATGATAAACAATTGCATTAATGTGCATGCAAAACGCATGCGCATCACGCCAAATTAGTGCGATTTTCTCAAAATATTGGATCAATCTCAAGATTCCCCCCCCTAGATTTTAAATCTTGCGAATTCGTAGGATCTGTCGAAACGTCGAAACGCTTTTCCCGCTAAATCAAATAGACCAATGTTTTATATTTCGCATTTCGGGATTCGCATTTCGCAACTATATGAAACCGACTTTACGCTTTTAATTTTAAATATTTTGGTATTATGAATTTTTTTAAATGTTTTTGAAATTTAGAAATTTTTTATAAATATTAAAATCTTTGTTAATTTTAAAAATTTAAGAATTTTTTAAAATTTTAAATATTTTGGAAGTTTAAATATTTATCAAATTTTGAAAATTTTAGAGATTTTGAAAATTATAAACATTAAAAATCTTATAAATTTTAAATAATTTAAAGAACTAAACATTTTTTAAGTTATAAAAAAATTGGAATTTTAAAAATATTACTACTGTGCACACAAATTTTTACTACCATTTTAAAATTGATCACACTGTGGAAATTTGTCCTACCATTTTTAAATGTATCCTACAGTGCAAATTTGTCCTAGCATTTTTAAATGTATTCTACCATTTTTAAATTTATCTCACTGTGTTTTTCCTAACCACAGGTAACTGTAATTTGTACTTTGTCGTAAGTCGTTCGGTCTGTTTTTCTATGCTAATAAATTCCCATCCGTTTTGCAGAAATAATTCTATAACTTTTTTATTAGAAATAAATATTTCTTTTTTCTTGTTAACTGGTAAAGGAACATCTACTACGTATAATTTACTATATTTTAATTGAAAAAAAAAGGTTTTTATTTTTAACTGCGTTTTTAGAATTTTCATAGCCATTTTGGGTAAATAATTCTATAATTTTTTTATTACAAATAAATATTTTTTTAACTGTTCCAGTTTATCCTACCTACAAGCATGGGCGCCGGCAGAAAATAATCCAAGGGGTAAAGCTTAATTTTCATGTATCCGTTTGTCCGTCATCCGTATGTCAGTTTTTCAATAAAAACGTCCGATAAGAAATGTTCAATTTTCATGCATACGTTTTTAAATGACGTTTAACGGATTGATTTGGCGACAAATAGAAATTAAGTGTAAGTATATTCACTTTACTAAATTTACCTAATGCTTAATTGTCATAGTTACAATTATGTCAATAATTGTAACTTTAACAGTTAGCTGTCTAATAAATTTAAAGGTAGGTAAATATACCATATAAAAAGAATATAATAGCCTTAATTTACATTAAAATGTATAGTTTTAAAAAAGCAAGTCCTTTTAGTTCTGGTTTTAATATTTTATTGTTTGTCTTTTCTTTTTTTCTGTTATTATTATTAAATAAATACATAAAAGTAGAACATTATTCACATAACGAACCTTATATTTCCGTTTTACAATCTTATTAAAAGAATATTAAAAGATTTGAAAGTAAAGTATCTTAAATAACGTTAGGCGTCAAAAACAGATGTGTAGTGACAGATTAGTTAAAATTATTTTAAATTTCTCCGTCAGACGTACGAAGTTAAAACTTGACGGACAGAAAAAATGTCATAATTTTTGAATTATAATTGGACCAATAAGAGCGCTCCCGGATGAACGGACTGACGGACAAACGGATACATGAAAATTAAGCTTTAAACAAAATTACGTACAAATTTAAGTATCTAAAGGGTGTTCCGACAAGACGGATCGATGTCAACACTAAATATTACAATGATATTTGTAAAAAAACTGATTTATTTATTGAATCATGTTATTTGGTACAATTATGTAGATTGTAGATTATGTAGATAAGAACGAAAAAATGTTGGCTAAGGCACACCTCCACTAGATGGTCCAAATTTTTGACGACATATCTGCAATAATGGTCCTCGATTTCACCAATATGCCTTATTTTCTTGTCCTTTAGCTATTGAATTGTTGTTGGCATAGACCTTATAAGTATACTCTTGACCCCAAAGGGGAAAAGTAGCCAATTGGTTTCGCTTTACCAAGAGATAATTCGACCTGGATACTCAATAAGAACATTGTTGCATTGGCATGTGGCACCATCTTCATGAAACCAGGAATCATCGATAAATAAGTATCAATAGCATCGAATACCCCAAAAAATTTGGCTCATCAACCTTCGGTGCTGTGCTGCTAAAGCCTTGGTTTCGCTTTGCCAAGAGATAATTCGACCTGGATACTCAATAAAAACGTTGTTGCATTGGCATGTGGCACCATCTTCATGAAACCAGGAATCATCGATGAATAAATATCAATAGCATCGAATACCCCAAAAAATTTGGCTCATCAACCTTCGGTGCTGTGCTGCTAAAGCCTTGGCGAACATTTGGCCGATATTATCTTTCACACATATATGTTTTTGAAGCTATGCTTCTTAACGCAGGCTTTGGGATGGGGATTTTGTATAGAAACCGACCGACATGAGACAAGTACAAATTACCTGTAGGCAAGGGCTTCCACAGGGGCGCAATAGGGGGCATAAACATAAAGCGTGTTTCAATAAGATGCATCGATCTTAACATAACACAATGTTATTTAAACAAAAAAATAGTATTTGTTATAATATTATGGCATGCCATAATTGCAATTATAATTGCAATTATGGCATGCCATAATATTATAACAAATCCCATTTTTTTTGTTTAAATAACATTGTGTTATGTTAAGATCGATGCATCTTATTGAAACACGCTTTATGTTTATGCCCCCTATTGCGCCCCTGTGGAAGCCCTTGCCTACAGGTAATTTGTACTTGTCTCATGTCGGTCGGTTTCTATACAAAATCCCCATCCCAAAGCCTGCGTTAAGAAGCATAGCTTCAAAAACAGTATAAAAGGCAAAATTTAGTCTCGGACAAACTGTTATTGTACGTTCAAGAAAAAAAAACTAAAATAAAATTTTTAAACTAAAAATCTTAAATTATCGTGTAGAAAAAATGCTGAATTTAAATTTTTTTATGCCCAAACATAATGTCTAAACCACCTTATTTACAAAAGTAAAATAAGAATATATATACGAATGCAATAAACTAATAAAAGTTTAATATTATATATAATTAATTTATACTTGCATAATAAAAGTCATTATACTCAAATATGTTTTAATAAACAACAAAATCAAAATTTTTTCAAAATTTTAATGACGACAATAACAAAACTTCAAACTCCATGTAAAATGATGACATAAGTTTACCACGAAGACTACGTTATTTAGTTTCTCAAAACAAATAAAAATGTTTTATATTATATTACATTTCGAGTTCATGATATAATGGTATAATATAAAATGATATCATACGCGTTTATAAGAAAGCCTTAATAACACGTGCTCTCAATCCTGCCGATGTGTTTTAAAGGCCTTATAAACTTGTATTATAATTTACTTTTATACACCCTTAAATTGAAAGTAAATAAGATTTTAATTTTAACGCTGCAATTTTATTTTCATATGAAAGTGAGTATTTACTTTATTTTATAGTCAAGATTACACAAAAATTGCTTTTTAAAATCTACTCAGTCTGTTGTTTGTATATATACATGAATTCAATAATCACAATCCAGCAAATATTTTTTTTTTTTTTTTTTAATTAAATTTAAATTTAATAACATTTTTTTGCTGGATTGTGTAAAGCTTAAGCGTAAAAATCGTAAAATGTAGGTATATTTTAAATAAAGCTCCTTTTAAACAAGCGGGGCCAGGCTCGCTATTAATGAATGACGACATTGTGATTGGGCATACAAAGGTATATCAATCTCTTTGCGGATACTGTATGTACAAAAGCTGGTAATGAATGCTTATATTGGAACCAAACTATTAATCAGATTTTGCATCGTATAACCAGGGCATTGTTACCAGGGCCGTAGCGACGGACTCAGGGGCCCCGGTGCAAAACTTTAGGATAGGATAGGATATCGAAAATTACGATTTTTTAGTAAAACTTTTTAGTTTTGGGGGCCCCTTTGAGGTCGGGGGCCCTGGTGCACCGCACCGCCTGCACCAGCCTCGCTACGGCCCTGATTGTTACATTGTTACAGTGGGTGTTGAAACTGTAAATGAGTTTTTTAATAGTAAACGCAAAACATTAAAGACCATGATGCTGACACATGTGACAACATCATGCATCATTATAATTATTATCATTCCTTGTATAAGTTTATGAGTAAAAATTATTATTTTAAACAATGTGTATAATATCAAATATTTCTTTAATAGACGATGATGGAAAAGTACGGGCGGTACCTCGCATATAACTGGATAACGAATGTTGGCTTTGGATGCTCCAACGTCTCGAGTTTGTAGGGGTAGGAACGCATGCGATTCACATTATTATATGGCCAAAAAGTTACTGTTTGGTGTACATTGGGTCTTACTTTTTTAAAATCATGCGATTTGACCCCAATGTATTTTTTTGTGGGCCTAGCTTAAGTCGTGTCTACGCCAACAAACCCGAAACGTTCAAGCATTCAAAAGCCAACATCCGCCAAAATATATATTTATATTTGTTTAGAGTGTTTAGAAGCATCCATGGAACTTCTAAACATCCTTTTGAGGAAATTTTTGATTATTTTTTGAAGATTTCGGGCGGTATCTTGGATATATCCAAGATACCGCCCAAAATCTTCAAAAAATAATCAAAAATTTCCTCAAAAGGATGTTTAGGAGTTCCATGGACGCTTCTAAACACTCTAAACAAATGCATTTATGTGATATTATTTTTCAATATGAACGAAATTCATTTTCGATTAATACAAAAATTTCGAAGGTTTCCTTAACGTACCTTTTTAAAAACAAGTTGCGAAACTCAAATTGTATTAGCCATTACTATCTAGTTAATAAAATATTACTTTTAAACATATTATGTAAAAAAAATATATATAATTAAAGGTAATAAAGGGCGCTACTCACAAATCAGCATACTGTTTTTATTATCAGGTCAGGTTTTTTAGATAAATGATTAGGACATTTTAAGCAATTATCGACTATAAATAGAAAAAATACCTAAATTCCGAAATAAACTGCAATTTATTGGGTCTGTTTCGCGTAGGAGACAACAATAATTGCTAAGCATACCAATAACGTTTGTAGTTTTCTTGATTCTCTGTAAATGTTTGTTTAAAAATTGGACCAAATGCAATGGTGGAAAACGGGCAACGGATTTAAATTGAGCGCTCAAAAATCCGTAAAAAGCACTATTTTCTTCTGGGGTCAAAATATTTACCAATATTTGTAAACCTGTGTAATTAATGATATCATTGTAGGTATATTTAAAAATTATATACAAATTTTTAAAGAATTTAATTTTATACGTCAAACTGTTTCTGTTTTTTTGTACTAGTTATATAGACGAAATTTATGGACGCCCCTTAGATGTTCATTAACTAATCTTATGATTAGTAGTTCTATTGATTTGCTGGTTATTTTAAAATTTAGGATATATCTTAACGTATACCTTCGTGATTCCTCACATTTTCGACTGAAAACCTTAATCATTCAGGCAATAAATTTAACACTTTTATGCAAATAAGTATAATTTTAGACCTGGGCATCGTTTGATATTCATCGTTTTAATTTATTTACCATTTCTTTACGAGATTGAATAAATCACCGAAAGAAATAAAACGGCGCTAAAATTAAATTATCCCGGAAAATTTTATATTTAATATTCATATTATCTGTTTATTGGTTAATCGATAAGCATAGTAAATATTTATTTATGCTTTGTTTTTCTTTTACGCAGCATAGCCCAGTCATTCTAGACAATTTCCATTTCCATTTCGTAAAACCCTTTCTGGGGAAACCGAAAGGGCAAAAGTAACAAAGTTGGTGGGTGCTTCCTCCGCCATCTTTGTTTTAAGGGGTAGTTTTGTTTTTGTTAAATAACTCGCTAATCTTTTAATTCACCTAAAAACTCACGTAGAATAAAATATATAAAATAAAATTACCTATAATTCAACAATAACAGCGCGTTGAACGTCCGAGGTAGGGTTGGAAAGAAGCTTTGCTACTGTTTTTGCTATTTTTTAACTACATAAGTGGATCCACTTTATATTCGAATATTCGGATTCAGTGCTGAGTTAACCTATAGGCCAACCTAGGCCATGGCCTAGGGCGCCGCGAAGCCAATAGGCGCCCAGGCAGAAGGCTTATTTTTTAAATAGGTTAAATATTAAAATTAATCACATATTATATCACGAGAACAATGAATTTAATCGGTTAAACTAGGCTCAGTAGTTTTTTGTTTGGTTTTTGTTGGAAAATGTTAGATGAAAAATAATTTTTCATGGACAGGACTGCAAATGCCGTCAGGCCCAATATGACACGACGGCTATAGCAGTCGCAATTTTCTAGCAAAAAAGGTGTATGAATTATTCAAGTGACGCAGCAGGTCCCGCCAAAAATTTGTCTGTGTCCATCAACGTGTTAATAAAATCACGAGACCGCGTAACTTACTGAGCATAGTTTGACAGATTAAACTTATAGGTTATAACTTATTTTTTATTGTTTTTTTTTAAAATGTTTGTTAAAACTTGTAAATAACACCATAAAATCGTAAACAAAAATCCAATATGGAGGCTAAAATTGAATCGCTGTTAAATAGTTCTAGTGATTTAATCGCTTATTTAAACGAAATTTATTCGAAAATTTAAGGCTTTTGATTGGTTCATATTATAATGAGGGAAATAATTAATTAAATTAAATAATTATATATAATTATAATTATAACATGATATACCTACCCTTTTTTTATTTTAATAACAAAATCTGAAATATGAATAATTTTTTTATTCTTTGATAAATATCGCCTATACCGCAATGTGTGTTATACATGTAAATAAAAGTAACAAAAACATAATCAAGTATATACTATATATAAATATATATATATATATAGTATACTATATGATATATATCATGGTCCAGTTTTAAAATTGTTAGAATAAGCATTGAAAAGGCATTGGGGCATTCCACGTTACTCGGTAATTTTTGTCCCGCCCGTCACAATTAAAAATTGTGAGTAAAAACCACTAGTTATTAAATTAATATTTTATTATATTATTTTTATTGTGCTACTAACTTAGTTAAACCATAATAAATAATATTTTAAAATAAATTTTATAACGTGGAGTTTTTACTCACAATTTTTAATTGTGACGGGCGGGACAAAAGTCCCCGAGTAACGTGGAATGACCCCATTACCAAATTAAACAATAGCTAAAATTTCGTTTCCGCATCTTCTAGTGTTCGAAATTTATTTAAAAAAAATGTAACACCCTGTATCTTGGGAAAATACCCCGTAAGGCATAACTTCATATGAATTTAAACTATTATTTTTACTAAAGAATCCACTGTTAAATTGTTTCCCAAAATTAATCCATATACGAGTATGATGATATGATATATTGTATAAATAAAAAAATAAATTTTTCACCAAATATGATATGATAATCTACATTTATCACCGGAGATCTACAAGTAATATAATATAATTTTTAAAGCTACATAGCATATGCTACTAAATTAGGGTTTGACATTTTAAAATAAAGAATTATTATTAGAAAAACCATTGTGAAGAACCGACCGACACGTTGTCAACCCAGGCACGTAGCCAGGAGCGGCTAAAGCCCTTCCCGAAATTAAACAAAATTCTATAAATGTTGTGCTTTTCTATGAGATAGTATTTTATAATACATTTTTATCATAATAAATGTAATGTTTATTGTAGACAAGCTTAATCTATGATTTATCTATACATATTTACGATTGTATAATAATATTTTATAAAATATATTATTCGTGTTAATTTTAAATTTTCGAAATCTAAAAATATTTTTTCCAATACCATTGTCACGGTTCGCCAAAAAACAAAAATGACCGAAAGAAGAGTAATTTTGTTATTAATATTTTTTTTGGTCATTTTTATACGGAAAAAACCCAACACAAAAATATTTTAACGATTACGTTTGCTTTTATTAACATAAAAGGAAAATGCACAAAAACACAAGAACTAAATTAGGTTTATTTCACTCTTACCTAGTTACAAAATTTAAACATATTATTATTAGTAATTTAAATATGACTGCTATTCTTAAAAGTAAGAGCTGCCAATAATTTTTTTGAAAACATCGGATGGCTGTCGTTTACCTTGAACCCATACTACCGCAAAATCAGAATTAACTGCTTTGCTAGCCTGTTCGCTATAAAAGACCAAGTCCAAATTTGTTTTTTCACAGAACTCTTGAACGTGAAAAATGACTGCAAGTATTTTTGGCGTTGTTTTAATTCCCAATTCAAGAAAGGAGGACTTAAATCTATTTTTTTTATAATTTGGATCTAAGGTGACTTTAAAAGTACTTTTCGTCACATCGTTAAAAGCTTTAAGGCAAGTCATATACGGCAGCAAATTTATTGGTAGATTTTTATCCAAATAATCCAAATTTATCAATAATTTTTTACATGAGTTTCCTGTAAAGGACCCCTCATGTATGACCTCTCTTTGAATGTGACAAAGAGTTGTCCACTGATTGCATACCTCAGGAGGCGCTTTTAAAAGGTTGTTGTATAAGGTATTTACAGTACCTAAAAAAATAACATCACGTGTTAAATAAAATAAAATAAAATAGTACTCATGATAAAAAGTCATTACCCAAGAGAAAATGCAGTTCAGGCGGTATTACTAGGATCATGGGTTCGCTCAAGATTGAGGAATGGGTTCATGGATGCAATTAAAAAAATGCTTAGATTTCTTTGGGTTGATCGCGAATGTTTGTGAAAGTACGTAGTCCTCATTCGTTGTTTAAATTTTGCTTTTTTGCTTGGCATCATGTACAGGGAAAAGCGGAGCTGTGGGACATAATGCCCATCAAATATTTGCCAATTTCAGATCCGTTAAATTACTATATTTTTCCAGTACATCAATGTATATGACACATTAAAAGTTTTGTTTTGTTTTAATTTAAAACAATTTAATTTAATATTTTTACAATAACCAATATAACATTTTTTTGTAACCAGAATCTTTTTGGCTAACACGACTGGCAACTTCATTCGTCTGGATATTTAAACATATTTTAAAATAGCGACCTCCCCCATCGAGGCCAATTTTAAAAAGCACATTTTCCTTTATTCTTCGCTTTTGAAAAATAAAATCCAAAAATTTCAAAATGTCTTTACAGATGATAATTTCTCTTTTAATGTTTTCGTGCCTGTTTCCCTGCGGCAGGAACCCTGCCCATTTTTCAAATTTGCTCTTGTGGTGTCTACCAAATGCCTTTTTTTGAAGTTTTGCCTTAAGATAATTTTCAGTAACTTTTTGACCAATTTTTACTTTTAATTTATGTGAACACGATGTGTTACGCGTGTAAAAAATGTCATTTTATGAGGCTTTCTGGCGTGTGAAAATTTTAGAGAGCAGTAGTAGAAAAACACATTTTTGTTTACAAAAACATAAGGGGCCGTTCAAAAATTTTGGATTACGATTTTTTTTATATAAAATTGTACAACAGATATTATTATGTAAAAAATAAATTTGGACAATTTTTTTAATAATTTTATTTTTTTGGCGAACCGTGTTGTCTAAAAGGCTTTTTTGTCATACGCTCCCAAAAATAGCTATTTTACGGACTTATTTAAGTGCGTAAAATGCTTCTTTTTCGGCCTAGTCCCTAAAAGTCGTCATGGCAACCTTTACGGACTATTCCAAAATTCCTTAGAATGTCTAAATTCAGCATGGTCGACGGTTTGAACGTTTGTGACTGTAATTTAAGAAAGTATTTTAATTTAAAAGCCTCAAAATACATCTTGCTTTTAGGTTTTTAAATGTTTACTTACTTTTTCGTTAATAATTTAGCAATAGGTACATCTTCATTTACAACGAGTACGCCATTTTCGTGTTTCCATTCAATAAAAGCAGCATATTATCTATGGTATTAGCACGAGACTTACAGAAAGTAAATCCAACACGATTTCTTGGGCCTTATTAGCAATAAATTCGGAATATTAAAACATTTTAAAATTTATGTGACTTTCTAAAAAATTTAAAATGACATTACAAAATTATCAAATCAACAAACTTGTTGCTACGATATTAATTATTTCTAAGCCAACTTTTTCGAACATTGGATTTAAAAATTATGGAAAATTTAAGCGTTCTGAAGAATTGTAAAAAGCGTATGCCAAAAATAGTGTTTGTCACACGTACCTAAATGAAGTTTTTCAGGACCCATCTGCTATTTCGGACTCGGCGAACGCATCGTTCGGAAACAACAATGATTCGTCCTGAAAAACTTCGTTTTAGGTACTTGTAACAAAAATAACTATTTTGTTAACATTTAATAGGTCATAACTGTCAATAGTAGGTCATTTTGAACAGTGCAAAAATAGTAGATTATGTCATAAGGAGTAGAAGTGGCTCTTTTTGTGGTGAGTACAGAGATTGACGGCCGAAGCGTAGCTGAGGCAGGCAACTGTACGAAGCACAAAAAGAGCTTCTACTCCAAATAACATATACAATTTTTTTTTCAAGGGCGTAATATAAATAGGATAAGCAATAGAATTATTTTATTTACTTATAACTCATGTGGTATAAAATTTTGGCTAAAAGCATTACAAATTATTGATAAAAAGTAAAAAAAACTTATAACCCTTACTTACAATGCCGATAAATATCCTAAACCATAGATAACAAAGCCTAAACTAAAAATAAACACTGCTCTGTCAAAATGCTGCGCTTGAATTAATTTTGACGTACTGACATTTGTTTGGAGTTCCGACATTGGCGACTCGTCTATCATCATTATATTATGTATACTAATAAACTAGTTGTTCTTTATTTCGTTCAATTAAAATTTAATAAATAATCACTAAATATTCCGTGCGATTATAATTAATATAATTAATACATCGTGATTGGGTAATTCCATTTATTAGCCACCAATGAGTGCACCTCATATACTCTAATTTTATTTCTTTTTTAACTGTAAATAGACATGGACCCAAGAAGTGAAAAAAACTCCCCTTTTCTTTTCTCCCCCTATCACCTATTTATACAGGGCTACGCAAAAGTTACTATGCAGACCTAACTTAAAAAAATTGTACTTTTTTTGCTAATAAAGCTATCGACATTAAACAAACTGTTAATTGTTAAGAAAATATTTCTCTTTTAAACCATATAGGACACATTTAGTTATTGATGCCCTAAATGGTCTTTGGGAATTTTTTTAAAAATGAAATTTTTTGGCAAAATTGTCTAATTTTATAAATTCATATATTCTTAGAACAACTTGCCAGCAAATTTTTTTTAATGTAGTTTGTTACCATAGATCTTACTCTATATAAAAGCAATGATAGCATTTTCAAATAATATTGGCTAAGAGTTCAAAAAAATATAATAAAAATCTATGTTTTCGAAAAATCACTATTTTCAGCCATTTCATGGTTTAAAAAGGCTATGTTTGAGTGAGTCGATTTAAACCAATTTATGCTTATCATCACATGCACTTATTAGCCTCCAATAACCATTAATAAAATTATTGTGTATTTTGCTTTTAACTGGGCTGTGGCTATATGTACAGCCCAGCTATAAGCAAAATACACAATATGCCCACCTGACTTTAAGCCATTTCATGGTTTAAAAAGGCTATGTTTGAGTGGGTCGATTTAAACTAATTTATGCTTATCATCACAGGCACTTATTGGTTTTCAATAATCATGAATAAAATTATTATGTATTTTTCTTTTAGCTGGGCTGTGGATGTATATGTCCACCTGTGACTATATCCATATTATTAACCATATATTATTAACTATACATTTCGAAAAAGCGTATTGCATCTTTAAAATAACTTGACAGCCTTAAATTGACTTCTAATTCATTCTAAATAAAAATATAAAATATAAAAACCACATACAGTGGCGTCGAAAATTAACTACCCATTTATTTATTTTTTAAATTAAGAAAACATAATCAAATGTACAAAAAATTAATTAAATGACTAAAAGACATACTTTTCATAAACTTTATATTTAAACAAAAAAACAGGTATTAAATCCTAAATTTGAATTAAACCTAACTGCATATAATTAAACTGAAGAAATCATATTCTTAAATTTTACAATCACCTAAAAAACCTATTTACTATTTTTTACCTCTAAAAAGTTATATGAATCGGAAAATTTTCTTATGTGTATAATTTCTATCAAGAGGAATAAATTAACGACTTATGGCCTTTGTCCGAGCGGACAACACCCTGTATAACAATATTGTCATGCGGCATAGCGTACATACGCGGGGCAGAAGGTCGCGAGCAATGATAGCAGAAGAATCAAGTGATACCGTGTAAAGGTGCAAACTTTCAAACAATTTTAATTATGTTATGTATATATACTGTAAACTATATGTGAAAGGGTGGGCCCACTATTGTGCGTGTGATAAACTTAAATGTGAATTTTAACAATTTTACTCCAACTGAAGCGTGCGAATCCAGAAAATCCACGGGGAACACAACATCTGTACAGTCCACTAAAATAAAACGACGACCAATAAGGTAAGCCCCCCACAGCCTTTAAATGGATCGCAGCAGACTTCACCAAAAATGTTGGTAAAATTATATAGATACTTTAATTTGTGATACCTACGTACAAATATCGGTTACAGTTGCATCCACTCGCCATTCTGATATTTGTTTTCCTCCTTAGTACAAGATTCAATCTTGGAAAATCGCAAAAAATATTTTTATCCGAAATCTGCCGAAAGTAGTCAACAATCGGCAGTAAAGTAAAAGAAATAAAGTTCTACTTTACTGCCGAAGTATGTCTTTTAGTCATTTAATTAATTTTTTGTACATTTGATTATGTTTTCTTAATTTAAAAAATAAATAAATGGGTAGTTAATTTTCGACGCCACTGTATGTGGTTTTTATATTTTATTTTTATTAAGAATGAATTAGAAGTGAATTCAAGGCTGTCAAGTTATTTTAAATATGCAATTCGCTTTTTCGAAATATATGGTTAATAATATGGATATAGTCACAGGTGGACATATACATCCACAGCCCAGCTAAAAGAAAAATACATAATAATTTTATTCATGATTATTGGAGACCAATAAGTGCCTGTGATGATAAGCATAAATTGGTTTAAATTGACTCACTCAAACATAGCCTTTTTAAATCATGAAATGGCTGAAAGTCAGGTGGGCATATTGTGTATTTTGCTTATAGCTGGGCTGTACATACAGCCACAGCCCAGTTAAAAGCAAAATACACAATAATTTTATTAATGGTTATTGGAGGCTAATAAGTGCATGTAATGATAAGCATAAATTGATTTAAATCGACTCACTCAAACATAGCCTTTTTAAACCATGAAATGGCTGAAAATAGTGATTTTTCGAAAACATGGATTTTTATTATATTTTTTTGAACTCTTAGCCAATATTATTTGAAAATGTTTTCATTGCTTTTATATAGAGTAAGATCTATGGTAACAAACTACATTAAAAAAATTTTGCTGGCAAGTTGTTCTAAGAATATATGAATTTATAAAATTAGACAATTTTGCCAAAAATTGCATTTTTAAAAAAATTCCCAAAGACCATTTAGGGCATCAATAACTAAATGTGTCCTATATGGTTTAAAAGATAAATATTTTCTTAACAATTAACAGTTTGTTTAATGTCGATAGCTTT